AGCAACTCGTTTCTCTCTCAAAAAAAATCCTGATCTCAATTTTCTCCTCATTGCTCAGACTTGGAACAACAGCTCTCCAAGACTCAGAAAAACACTTGTATTACTGACCAGCGTTTGGGCCTTAGGGTTTTGTTTCATGCTCCTGCAGTAGAATTATAGGCCTTTTTGAGTGAAAAACAATTGAAATAAATGTGTAGGTGATTTGCAAGTTCTAATAAGAGTGTTTCTATCTAAGTACTTTCATTGTGTTATTGTACAGGTTTGCTTGTGCTGAGCAGTTTTAAGTACTAGCATTGTAAACCATAACAGTCTAAATTCCTTTTGAAAGATGCAGATGTTTTATTTCCGAAACAATGATCAATTAATATAGTAACAGAAAATAAGTGTTATTTAAATTTATAGATCAAAGACATAATTAGATTTCTTAATTTTAATACATCTAGTTACAATCCTTCTTAGCTTTTTTTTGATATAGTTGCATATTGTGAAGGAAGAGTTACTCTCTTTATTAAAATTTCTGAATATTCACTGTTCAAAACTTCATAATTCCAAAACATGATCCTTTCTCCAGTAAAACAAGAAGTTAGTTGGAGACATTGTTGATTTCAGGTCTTGGGCAGAGAAAATGTAAAGCAACCCCATAACATGTTCTGGTGGCAGAGATCAAACAAGGACTCAAAATGATGAAGGTATGTTGAATGGGCACCAGAGCTGACTAAAAGATCACCCAGTAATGAAGTCTGTAAGAATTTGCACAAAACAGAAGTAACCATATTATTAGATCATAACACATAAATGTCTTTGACTTATGATGTAAATATGTAATATAAACAAAAATAAATAAATAAATAAATAGGAACAAGTGGTAGTTTTCCATGTAGAAGAATTTCCAATAATAAATGTAGAAATGATGTAGGAAATTGCCCTCAGAAAACCACAGTGTTGATTATTATAGGCAAGACCACTGAGTGTCTCTAAAATTGATGGGCACATTTTTAAAGTGAGATAGAGTATTTATATAATCCTAAAGTATATATTAATTATAAAGTAAAATACTTAATTAACAAAGGAGAAAACTGGCAGAAACACCTCTTTAACCAAGTGATCAAGGTTAACGTCATCAGTCATAAGACATACTGACATCACTTATTACCTGATCTGACACATTGAGAACAGTTCCCTTCTGTGAAATCCTTGGCAAAAATGCTCGATGTCAATTATCCCTAAGAAAATATGAGACACACCCAATCCGAAAGCCTTTTTTTCCAAATTAACAGACAAGTATTGTCCAAAAAGAGTCAAGTTGACAGAAGACAAGGAGAGACTGTGATGGAACTCTCACAGATTAGAGGAAAAGAAGGAGACTTGACAACCAAATGCAAAGCAGAGTCTCTGGAAAGAATTTAGTGGGAAGACTGGCAATGTTCCAACCAGGTCTGGAATTTGGTTAATAGTGAGATGGTTAAAGTAGCATTTCTCATAAACTAAGCTTTATATTAGTGATTTTTAATAGAAAATTAAAAACGAACTTGTTGAAAGTTATACAGCTAGCTGTGGTCAAGCTGGAGTTTTAACCCACACTATGCAACCAACCATTAGGCTCTTGATGCCAGGGTCACGCTGACTCGTATAACAAGTTGGGAAACATTTCTCTTCTCCAGAAGACATTGCACCTGAAGTTATAAACTACTTTTACTAAGTAGAATCATTTTCTCTGCATCATTTGCTTTCATTTCTCTTCATTGCTTTTTCAATTTTTTAATCTCCAAGTTTGCATCTTGTTTGAACCATTAGTTACATGGAAGTTATTTTTAATTTTCTTCTAAAGTTTCAAGAATATGAGTATTTGGGGGTTATCTTTTTTATATTAACCTCTACTTTAATTGGAGCATGTTCAAAAATATAGAAGATTCTGATTTATGCAAACTTGTCTAGTAACTTAATACTCTATAAAATTTGTTCAATGCTTCATGCATGCTTGAAGAGAAACTTTATTCTCTAGATTGTGCAAGTAGGTTTTTTATACATTTGTATTAACTTTATTTATTTTGCTAAATATTATGTGCATTTATAATATTATCAGTCCAACTGATTACTTATTGGAAAGGGAAATCATTAGTGTGGCTGTATTTCACATAGAATCTAGATTTGAAACTAGATAATCATGGCAGTGAAGATTTCAGTAGAAACCAGATTCCATATGACCAAATGGAACAACATAAGAATTTGTCCTAATTATAAGCACTTACAATAGAGCAGTGATACCTTTCATGTGTTATAGAAAGACTACATCTATTACAGTGTACTAAGTACATCAATGTACTTAGTACATCAATGTACTAAGGTTCTGCTTCCATATGATTTAATTTTTTAAAGAAAGACCTTGTAGTAAGTAGGCTAAATCTGATGATGTTCTGGGGTAGAATACAGTTAAATAGATCTATATCAAAAGGGAGAGTCAGGGGTTGCCAGGAAGAGTTGTATGGAAAAGCTTTCATAGCGAGGAAAATGTATTAAGTTGAAGTAAGAAAAGAACATTGGAAAAACCTAAAGGAGACCAGTTTTATGAAGAAAAATAAAGAAAAGAATGACAGCAAAGAGGAATCAACTTGTGGTGGGGCCACCTATATATATATGTGTTTTGTTTGTTTTTGCCTTCAGTCATGACAAGTACCAGTCAGTAGAGGCATATAGTTCATGAGTGAGGAGTTAGAGCAAAGCAGACGGATGCCTTGGGAGAAGCCCTTCCAGTCTGGTGGTGGGCACTCATGTCCTCGGGGGAAGTCTGCCCATTCCTCTCTCATCTTTATTGTAGCCCTGTGTAATTGCTAAGTTGATTTCACAAGTAACTACTAATGTATTTTAAGCCCAATTCGGGCCATCAAAATATTTTAAAGCTCTGAGTAGTTATTGATAAAAATTGTTGTTTCCCAAAGGCTAATATTGCTATAGTGTGATTTGAGATTTGATTGGATTTGGGCAAGTGCCAAAGCTGGTGGAATAGTTAGGAAGTTACTCATGTATTCAGTACATAAATAAGTATGCTATGGCTACTAGAAGAACTATGGTGGGAATTTAATGATGGCAAAAAATTACCTGTTCTTTAGCACATGCCCATGGTACTTACAAATACATAAGTAGTATAATGCCTAGCAGTGGCAAGTGATATGAGGAGTGATAGGCTGTTATTCTTGGTAAGGTTATTTTCATCAAGATGACTGGACGAAGCAATTGAAGAGGTCACAATGAAGCAGTCCTCTGATCCTCTGAAGGAAGTGAGAGAGCATCACACTGTTTGGAGACAGGTGTTTCTAGGAGAAGCAATAAAAGCAAAGAGAGCCAATAAGATGATAGCTAAGGAATGAGTTGAGAATTTCTTTCAACAGTGTTACCAAAGATAGAAGAATACAGACAAAGGAATAAAAAATACAGACTAACAAACTAACTGCAATGTGATGAAAACTGAATCGTCATGATGTCTCCTGGGAAATGACTTTCTTTCGTAATTGAGCAGATGTGGGTAGAAGGCACTTATATTAGTTTGTTAGGGCTGCCCTGTTATAACAAGGTACTGCCAACTGGTAGCTTAAACAATGATATCTTAGTTTCTCATGCTTCTGGAAGCTAGAAATCCAAGATCAAGGTATCAGCAGAATTGATTTCTTCTGAGATCTCTCTTTGGCTTGTAGATGTCCTTTCCCTGTGTCTTCAAATGATCTCTTTGTTCTTGTTTACATGCAAATCTCTTCAAATGAGGACACTATCATAGTAGATTAAGACCCACCCTAAATATTCTCATATAACTTTAACTACATCTTTAAATGTCCTATTTTCTAGTGCAGTCATGTGAGGTACTAATGTAAGTCAGGGCTTCAACATATAATTTTGAGGGGCACAGCCGTGCAAACAATGAGACCATAACATTGCCATTTTTCCAATTTGTTTAATTGTATTACAGTTATATGACGGTTGTGGGAAAATAATTTTAGGTGAGGGGAAATAGCATGCAAAAAATACAAAGAGAGGTGTAGGAAATTAAGTTTTGAGAAGAAAACAGAAAAGTTCAGTTTGGTACAAATCTTTCACAGAAGTGACCAAAGGGAAATACTTTAGAAAAGATAGACTCAGGTGAGAACATGATTACTTAAGAGTTTTGGACTTTATTATGTATATTAAGAGGAATTACTTAAGGTTTATGAGCAAGAAGCTGCTATAATCAGAAAGGTGCTTCAGGTCTATTAATCTGTCAGTAACATATAGTTTATGATCAAGTGCTAACACATAAATCTCACTAACAGCAGAGGTTGTTCATGCTTGGAATGCATCTGTGTGCACCAGGGGTTTGGTGAATTCTTGTTTTGCTCTGGAATGAAGGGGAGTTTTTGTCACAATTTAGTGTTTTTATATTGTCACTGGGAAGGGCATCTTTGTATTTCTCCCATATATTATCCTTTGTTTCTCTTGTCACAAATAGAAATAGGATTCTTGCTGATTATGGTTGATGTCTTGAGATTATGTAATGTTCTTCCTGGTAGCAGAAACCAGATGAGAAGTACATAAATACAACAAAGGACAGACAATTAAATATAAATAGCTACTGCTTATTCTATAATTTGTTATGACTGCATAAATATACATATTACATACATATCTGTACTCAAAGCTGATCTCTACTTATTTGTGCAAATGCGAAAAACACAACATGCTCTTTTTTAAAACTAGAATTCCTAATATGATTAGAGGTTGGTACTCACTATGCATAATATGCATGAACAAAAACCCCAAAGTTCAACTTTCTCTAGACTTATAGTTCCCCTGGACTTCTTTAATATTGTCTTTATTATGTGTATTCAACTTATTAATTAGTCAACAAATAGTCTACATCTAATGCAGAGTTTAAGATTTATAAAGTTCTCTCATAACGCATTCATACTTTCATATTCGGTTGATAAACATCTCTCTCTCACTCTTTTTCCTCTCATTGTCTTTATACTTTGCAGGCACCATTCATCTTCAAGTAGTTGAATCCTCCCCAGTTGGCACAGCCATTGGAAGCGTGAAAGCCACGGATGCCGACACTGGAAAAAATGCCGAAGTCCAGTACCGAATTATTGATGGCGATGGGACTGACATGTTTGACATCATAACTGAGAAAGACACACAGGAAGGCATCATAACTGTGAAAAAGGTGCTCAGCCTCAGTATAAGTAATCATCCGACTGTTAGACAGCAGGGATTTCAGTGTGCACTTTCCATTCGTACGTCATCCACTGTCCTGTTCAATATAATTTACATTTGAACAGCATTTATGTTCAAATGTAGTCTGAAAAACATAAAACCTAATACTTTGAACCTTTTTACCAATGTTTTGTTGATTGAAGCTTGAAACCTGGGATGTACAGAATAGGCCAAAACTAGGTTTACGGTTGTTCATATGGAAAATAATACAATAGTTAACAAGTGACAACAGAAGAATAAACTCTGCATTTTATGTACTCAGAACTGTAGACTTACTTTTGCCTCACCTTTCATGTGAGATTATACTTCTGAGCCACATTAATGAAAGCCTTCCATAATAAAATTGTTTTCTTAAAGAAACCAGTTAATAGCTAGTAATGGCAATCTGTTATCACAGTTGGAGACACAAAAAGTACCATCTATCCAGATGTATGAAGTAATAATTAGAGCTGCTAATAAAAAGAGGCAGCATGGATTAGAGGATAATTTAGTTCTTCATGTTTTTCGTCTACATAAATTAAGCTTTTCTGCTAACATATGCTTACTGATGTGGTTTAAAGGTAACAAAATTTTTATTACAGAGGCAGTATCATCATTATAAATAAAATAAGGCTCTGTAAAATTTAAGTCCTCATGAAATATCCTGTAGACTATGTATGTATAAGTAACCACTAAGCACTGGCTAGTCCATCCTGAGATTCCATTGCATGGCCCAAGGTACACAACCAGTTTTAAATGGACAGTGACCAGCGAAAGGGGAAACACCTTTCTTGTTCATCTTCATGACCAGAAATAATAGTTGTATAAGTGGAATCTCATAACAGGTGCAAGTTTAAGTCACAAAGTACCAGGAATCCATTAAGTTGAATGGAGATATCGCAACCTAAACTTAAAAAGATAAATACATTTTTTCTTAGAAAAATTAGCAGTGGCCAACACTTCAGCACATACACACACAGGGTTCATCAACCCATTCTTTTGTAATGAGTTGCCACTTTAGGTTTTAACCCTGTCTAATTTTCCAAGATTCAAAATCTCAGGTGTTTCCTGGCTGGTGTAGCTCAGGGGATGACCCCTGGCCTGCGAACCAAAGGATCGTGGTTCGATTCCCAGTCAGGGCACATGCCTGGGTTGTAGGCCAGTTCCCAGCAGGGAACACACGAGAGGCAACCACACAGTGATATTTCTCTCCCTCTCTCCTTCCCTTCCCCTCTAAAGATAAATAAATAAAATTTAAAAAATAAAAAATAAAATAAAATATCAGGTCCCTATGTTCTGATATCATGTGTTGAATATATTAAAGAGATAAATTGATTCCTATTGACATGTAAATATTATTATTTTTATTCCTTTTATTTATTTGTCATTAGTGGACAACTTAGAACTCAATGGGGCTTTAAAAATCATACTGTAACTTGGAAGGAACATAGAATCCAATCACCCTCCCTTGAATTTCATGTTTTATTATAATTGTTGTTTTGTATACAGCCGCTCGACTATGAGAGCCGAAGACTTTACACTCTGAAGATCGAGGCAGAAAACACCCACTTGGATCCGCGTTTTTACTACTTGGGACCCTTTAAAGACACTGCCATTGTGAAAATCTCTGTAGGAGACGTAGATGAGCCTCCTGTTTTCAGCAGGTCCTCCTACCTGTTTGAGGTGCACGAAGATATTGAAGTGGGCACGATTATTGGAACTGTAATGGCGAGAGACCCAGATTCTACTTCTAGCCCCATTAGGTAATTATGCCTATATTTAAGATGAAAAGAAAAACAATGGAAGTAAATATAGATGTCGTGAAGTTCCACTGAAATATTTAATGCACAAAGATAAGAGGACTCTTTGTAAGTTGTACATAAATCTGTCTCTGTTGGATGGAAGGCGGGGTGTCACAGGCTTATGTTTGTGACATAGTCTTTTCTGTATCAGTCGGGCAACTGCTCGGCTCGCTGATGACATGTATGGATATCTTAAGAGCGTCTCCTCCCCAGATGTGACTGCTCTGACTACGTGGGCAGATGTGTCTCCTTGCCAGATGTGTTTACTCTGACTTAGCTAACTTTCCTCTTGAACCCAAGTGTCATGGCTCACCGACAGCCATTTTAGTTTGTATACATGACTCCACTTGGTTTTATGTATCGTACTTTGCCGTGTATAATGTGGACCCACATTTGTGGCTCGAACTTTCAGGAAAAAAATTCATTTTAATATTTCAATTAATTTTTTTATATTCAGATGCCTGTATTTTTGTTTTGTAAAGGCATTTTAGAATTTATTTTTTAACATACTATGGTACAAAACATTTTACGTAACAACTACAAAACACAAGAAAAAATACAAGGTATTTCAGGTACTACCTATGTATAATGCACACCTTTATTTTTCCCTCAAAAATTTGGGCAGAAAAGTGCACATTATACACAACAAAATACAGTACTCTGCACTATCTTTTTTAAATTTTATTTAGTTATTTTTCAAGTACAGTTTTCCATTTCTCCCGTCCCAGCCTCCCCCACCCCTTGCTCTCCACCTCCCTCCCACTTCCATCCCCCTTAGTTCTTGTCCCTGTGTCCTTCCTATTTGTTCCTCCAAATCCCTCCCCTTTTTCCCCTTAAATTCCCTTCCCTCTCCCCTCTGGTCACTGTCCCTTGATAGGACCAATGTTATTTTATTGGTTTTGCTCTCCACAAAAGACACTTGCGTTTCGTAGTTTGCTTCAGTTCTAATCATTCCCTTAAGCCTAAAATGTGCCCTGAATCCACTGCCTGTAACTTTAAGGTATTTGTTGTTCTGATTCCTAGTATAGATAAAGGACACTATTTTACTATTTCATATCTACATTTAAAATGTAACTAAATTACTTTATTTGTGCTTTCAGATTCTTAAATAATATGTGAGATTGATAAGAGTATTAACAATTAAAATATAATCATAATGTTTCAGGGCAGTTACATTATGGTATTAGAAACTCCCTCATTAATACTGCCATCCAAAAAGTGGGTTTTTTTGTGGTTGTTCTGGTTTTATCAAAATGTATTAGACCATTCCAGAAAGATAAGAGTAAATGGCACCTTGAAAACATATGAGATCTGATAAACACAGACAAAAAGTAAAAGGCTCTAAGTTTTCACTTACTTGTACATTTTAAAGAAATGCAGATACCTATATATAATAGCATCAAAATGACTGCTCACTTCAAACTTTCTCTCTAGTATGTATTTCGGATTTCATTTGCTTTCTTAATTCTTAGCATACTGATTTTGCTTGCCCCTCGTTCCATGTGGACCAGTCAAGCTGGAGTTCAAGTGGTTGGGCAGTTTCCAAGTGCACTCTTCCCTGCCATCTAGGGAACCTCGAAGTTTATGTGCCATGTGACTCTAGCTAGACTTAAACATTCTGCAGGTTCTGCAGTATCTTCAGTCAAGTCATAGTTGGTGCATATGTGTGTGTGTGTAATGCACACACATTAAAATTCTTATTTAATTTATATAATTTTATCCAAATATTGTCTTCTGTTCACATATGGCATCACAGGTTACTTATTGGCAGAAGAAACGTGTACCTGGTAACCACGTAGAGCTCTAGTCTGCCCACACCACTTTTCTGTAAATGCCTCTTCTCCAATCCATTTATCTTCATTGAAACTACTGCATTCTTTGGATTTTCTTCACCTTTGAGGCTTTTAAATAACCAATATACATGTTTGATTTACTCCATTAAGTACTTAGCCAACATTTTCCTGGCATAGCTCAAAATGGACTTTAACAGGCTGTGATTTTGAAATGCCCTTTTAAAACATGAAGTAATATTTTTAAACATTTATTTTAAATCTAATAGCATTGTTAGCTAGCAACATGAAGATATTTCTCCACACAATGGCATACATGTTCATCCTTTTGTAAATTGATGATGACTTTTGTCAAAATACGGCTGTGGACTTTTTAAAGTTTATTTTATTGATCATGCTATTATAGTTTTCCCAATTTTTCTTCCTACTCCCCTCTCCACCCTGCACCTCTTAACCCTCCCTCAGTCTCCCCCCTTAGTTCATGCCCATGGGTCGTACGTATAAGTTCTTTGAATTCTCTGATTCTTATACCATTTTTGATCTCTCCTCATTTATTTTATGCCTACAAATTATGTTTCTTAATTCCTGTACCTCCCCCCCCATTTCTCCCCTTCCCCTCCCCACTGAAGACCCTCCACAGTAAAATGACAACAAACTGTTGCTATCAACAAATGAACCTAAAAAAAAAAGAAAAGTAATGAAAACAAAAAACTAAATAAACAACTAGAACAGGAACAGAATCAGAGAAATGGCTTTGGATTTTTGAAACAATAATATAATATTTAGCCCTGGCCAGTGTAGCTTACTTGGTTGGAACATTGTCCCATAAACCAAAAAGTCACTGGTTTAGTTTGGTTGGGACACATGCCTAGGCTGTGGGTTTGGTCCCAGTCGAGGGGCACGAGAGAGGCAAGTAACTGATGCTTCTCTCTCACATTGATGCTTCCCTCCCTCTCTCTCCGTTCTTTCCTCTCTCTCTAAAATCTATAAGCACGCCCTTGGGTGAGGAATGAATATATACAAAATATTAATTAGGATGGAAGTTGAAGGACCAGCAGAAAAGAATCAATTTATCTACACCATATGCAATAAAATTAATAACTTCACTGATTATTAATGACAGTGTCTATACCATGAAGGTTGATGTATACTATTATTTATGCTACAGTGATTTAGAAAATGCAAATAAACATTTCATAATGTTACTCTTGATAGACCATGGAGTTTAATATTCTTTAAAAAATATTTTTAAAAAAATAAAATATATTTATTAATGAAATGTAATCATGGAACGATAGTTTTGGCATTCTTTAAATTGTCATATAATGTAAATCTGTAAATCATGATGCAGTAATCAAAGACATGTATTTAAAATGTGTTTTGGAAATGATTTTGAAAAGGAGGATGAATGTTAACCCATAATTTGCTAATAGGTATTTTAAAAATATAATTTATCAAGATTGAACAAGAACCAGAGTCTTTGTGTCTTTAAGATAAATTCACATAGTCCTCTCGATTTTGTCATTATTCCTTTAAAGTAAACTATAAGAAATGATCAGCTCCAAGCATGCATAAATTGAGTTGGTGAACATAGTGATGCATTGTGTTGATTTATATATTGAAACTTCATGTCATATTTCTGTAGAATTAAGGAAGCCTGTCATTTGCCAAAATGCCAAAGAATTCAGTCATTTCTCTTTCATTTAACAAATATTTGTAGATCCCCACATCAGATATTAGAGTGCTTCTCAAGGAGTTCTCAGTCTTTTAGGGAGATAATTTAGTATGGGAAATAATATTCATTGAGCATGTTCTAGACTTCACATAAGATGCCTAAAGTTTCCATGTTTCATTTCATGTAATAGATGTAAGATGAAATGAATTCCTGTTGCAGTGTGGTAAATGACAGAGATGAATGGTAAAAAGTACTTTATGATAGAAGGAGCAAATAAATTATATTTCAGGTAATTACGGAACACTCTAAGAAGGAAGTAAAATTTATGTTGAGTTTTTCAGAAGTAGAAGCGTTTTGTTAACTTGACATTGAAGTTGTGAATTATTCCAAATGTAGAGATACAATGTTTTGCTTCATTTCTAAATGGTAAGATGTAGTTTGAATACAAAACTGATTTCATATTATGTTAATAGAAAGAATTAGAATTATTAAGATTTATGAGTTACTGGTTTATTCTATTTTAAATTGATATAAATTTCTATTGATTATTATAAATATACAACTTTGGAACACTACAGGAGAGTTTTATGGTACCTTTTAAATTATTTTATATTATTCACAAAACTCAATTTGAAAATAATATTTAATATACTTTTTCTTAAAATAAATGATAGCTGTGGCTTAAAGAAAGATATACTATGACTCAGTATTACTCCTGGTCTTGTCAACTTTGTTTTAATTTGTTTTGTTTGTTTTTTTAATACTGAAAATTAACTATAACTTGGGGATTATGCTTGCTAACTCAAGAACTATGAAACATTTGTAATCCACTATGTAAAATGGCAGCAACCAATGATGGTTATAGCTATTTTCAGCCTTGGCTGACAAACCCACAAACAATGTCACTTATGCAAAATACATCAACTTAGCTGATAAACCTGGTGTTTAGCTGTAGAATATCTGACACAATGCCTTTAATCAATTTGCAGATTATGTTTCTAATACATACACTAAACTTTACTTGATACAAATGTACAAAACTTCTATCCCAAGATTTTCTATTTTTAAAATTTCTCTGGTTAAAATGTGTACATTTTACAGTGACACATTCAGTTAAGAAACTGAAGCTACATGGATCTCATGCCGTGAAGCTGGCAAACACCATCCTGAATTGCTGACCTTCTACTCCAAGGAAACTAATGTTGTCTATGATTGTCTGATTAAGAAAAGGGTTTTGCTTCTGCAAATGATCTGTTGCATTAGATCTTATAGTTAATTCCTTAAGAGAATTTTCAGTTACTAGGTGGTCAGTTGATAATGTAACCACATGTAATACCGATTGTTTTGTTGAAAAAGTGTATCAAAATCAGTTGAATATGGAAATAGATAATGATAATAACAAAATTTAGGAGACTAGAATTTGAGTGCAGAGCAAAGTGCCACCTCAAGCCTTGGGAAGAACTGTGTGCGTGTGTGTGTGTGTCTGATAAATTGATAACACAGTCTGCATTCTAGATCACTACAGTGTACATTCCTGAAATTATCATATATCTATACACTTGTGTCTCTGCATTTTATGATTTTTATCATGCACACCATCAATAACACTGCCATGTACTTTTCCTGGCTCTCTCTGTTCAGATTTTCCTTGGATCGCCATACTGACCTTGACAGAATCTTTAATATACATTCTGGAAATGGATCCCTGTATATATCAAAGCCACTTGACCGTGAACTCTCTCAGTGGCACAATCTGACTGTCATCGCTGCTGAAATCAGTAAGATGAATTTTCTGTGTATAATATTTAACTTATATTTTCATTTTATTTTATATTAAAATAACTTGTTTTTATTGCACACATAATGCATATTTTAATCTGAGTTTTAAAAAAGCTTTTCAATACCTAAATTTTCCAAGAGTTTTTATATACACTGAGTGATATCTACAGGTCTAGATAAATCTACATTTCATATCAACTATTTAAAATCTATAATTGGGAGCTAAAGATAGGCTCTGTTAAGAAAATAATATATATTAGATTTGTTTCGTGGACACTAAGAATTAGAATCTGTGCTGGATGCTGGGTGTATATCATTTAATTTTAACAACAAACATGCAGGTGGACACTGTTACTTTCATTTCACAAATAAGGAAACCATGGTAATTGGAATGATTGTAGCAAACACTGTGGCAGGTATTAGACTAAGAATTTAAATTTAATTTTCTTTTAGTAATATTTTTATTGACCTTATTGGAAAAGGGAAGGAAATAAAGTTCCAAGGGTTTTAGTAACTCACCGAAAATCACAATTCCATATGTAGTGAAACGGGGATTTGAAACTAGTCCAGATCAAATATTTAATTCTATAGCTAATTTACAGAATTTCATCCAGCTAATAGTGGGTAAAACCAAGATTCAAAACCACATCTGTCTCTAACAGAAAAAGTTCTTACCTGTACACAGGACTGGCTACATATGTGGGGAGCCCAATATAAATTGAAAGTATCAGGCTTCGTACTAAAAATGATTAAGAAATTTAACATGTGAAAGCAGAGCAATGAAACAATAGTGCGAAGCCCGGTACAAGTAATTGTGCATCAGCCCTGTCCACACATGCAAACCGGTTCATGGTCTCTGATGCCTGTACTATAATGGACATGGAGTAGAGTGGTTCTTCAACTTCTTTAAAAAACACATTAATTAGGGACAGGACCATTAAGAAAAACTAAGCCTATAGATTACCAGATCTGAATAATAAGCTGAATCCACAAACATGCGTGAAGGTCAAGGTATTTGAAGCATCCATTCCAGGATTTAGAAGGCCACCAAGAGTCTCAGAAATATGGAACTGGGCTAAGCAGACCATCAGCAAAAATTCAAAGCTTCAAGATAAAGTAAAAGATCCAGCTTCTTCCCTCAATCTGACTTAGAAATATGGATTAATGTGATAATCCAAATGATCTGATGTTTCTATAGTGAGATATAAATGGGTGTGCCGTTTAAAATGAACAGAAGATTGTTGGAGTTGTTTTCTTTTGAAGAAAGCTTTTATTTCTACACCCCACTCCATAGCCCCATGGGTAGAAGTGCCCGGCAGGACCCAACCTGGTCCTTCCAGAACCACACTTCTGGTTTGTGCTCTCTGTGGATTCAAGATGCTTATTCAAGCCAGTGAGCTAGAAATCGCATTTTCCATTTCAGATACTTTGAGAAATTTAACTTCTAAAGCTAGTTGAAGTAATTACGGTTCTGTAAAAAGGGAAGCCAATTATGTTCTTCTTTTTAAAAACTAAACCTATTTCTCGCCCTTAAATGAATCAGTCCACGGAGCACCGCTGGGAATGTCTACCTGTCAAACCACAGCCGTCAGGGGCCCACTATGCTGCGTTCAAGGGAGTGAGGGGAACAGCACACAGGAAATTGTTTTCACTAGACTTTAAACACTGGGTGGGTGTAAGCATGTCTACGCCAAGCCCTAAGCAGGGCAGATTGACAACGTGTTTCCAGGCCCTGCCTCTCACAGTTTAATTCTGCATCCCACTGCTGTAAGTCATAGCATGTGGCAAGTCCTACTGCAGTAATTATTTAGTGCAGCATGCCCTAAGTAACTATTCTGTTTCTTCTCTAAAAAAGCATTTTAAATGCCATGTGAAGAATAAAAACAAATCTGACCTTAAGGTCCCAGTCAGGGATTGTTGGGTACCTCATGGTGGAGACCCACGAGTTCCTCCCTCACCTCCGCAAACTTAACCATAACCATTGCAATACATTCTGAGGGCAGTTGAGCAAAGTTTATGCTTAAAGACTGATTCCGTATCTATACGTAGTTCCTTATTAGTGGAAATTTGAGACTTAAGCAAGTAGAAAAGATAGTGTCTCATCTAAAGCCTGAGATTCCTAGATAATGGATTAATGTCTCCTTCTGGGAGGTATGGAAAAGCCTGGGGAGATATAGGCACAGATTCACCTTTGGACATAATTTTAAGATCCTTTACTGCTGATACTTTCTTGCTATAACAGTCTTTGCCTTCATGACTCTGAGAGAGACTCAGGTAGGTGGTAAATGCATGCCAGCTACTCTTCAGTGTGATGCTTTCTTCGAATGCTTTATAGTTTTATTTACACATTGGCTGCAGTGTCTGCTAGTAAAAAGATCAGTGCAGGAACTATTTTTTGAATAGGTGACTCCAGGTTTGATGCCCTACAAAAGTACATTTATACCTGTGGGCTTAGCTTTTTCATTTGAAGAGCCTTGGGTTGTTTGTAAGGAGGCTACAGAATCTCTATATGCTATTGTTAGAGAAGGGACTGACGTTGCAGTTCTTTAGATATGAGACTTTTCTCTCTCTCTTGATTCTGTGAGATAGCCAGAATGTGAATCGCTACCCACAAAAGAGATATTTCATGTCAAGAAATTATATTGAAAGAAAACATGTTGCTTAAATGTAAGGAGGTGAAAGAGCCCATTATAGAAAATATGGAAGACTCATACCTCCCTGATCTTCTCCAAGTAACTTGAGATAGTTGAGTGTTCTGGTGCAACTGAACACTGTGCTTCTGGGTGTGAACAATTGGTCTGGAAGTAGGAGAGGTCAGAGAATTGGGAAGAGCATTTTCTCCTCTCTCCACTTTTCCCCTGATGTGCCCCTCTTCACACCCACATGAACAGTAGAAAAGCCAGTGAACAGGTTTCTATCCTGCAGGTGCTTTGTGTCAGGAAAGAACATATAAGCCCTTAAGTAATGTAAGGAAGTGAAGAGGCTGTGGGTGTGGTAATAAAGATAACCTTAATAAGAAAAGTCAGCACAGACTGGGTACTTACCAACAAATTGATGCTTTCATCAGAAGTTTTCATCCATTAACTCCTTCAGTCTTTCAAATAATTCTGTGAGAAATTTTATTTTGATTCCTGTTGTGTAAACTGAAGCCTGAGAAAGGTGGAGTAAATTGAGCAAAGCCATACAGTGAATGAGCGTCACACCTGGATGTAAAGGTAGCTCTCTCTGTTTGACTGCAGGGTCTGAGCTCTGTAACCACTTGACACATTAAGAAGGGAACAGTATCCAGCAATAGATTAGCAAGTAGGAAAGCAGAAGCTTAGAACTGAATACTTGTGGGTTAAGAAGACTGAGGAATGACTGAAGAGGACAGACATTTGAAAGTTTCTCTTGAAAAGAGGAAAGCAAAGTAAAGAGACTTCCAAATGGATTTAGAATTCTGCCTGCTTGCCTTCATACTACTTCAACCTTATAAATTTCCCTGTTGAGTAATTGGTTCTTACACAATATTTTTTAAAAGTCTTGATCTCTTTATTTTAGTAACATAATTACACATAGAGAAAGGAGAAGAAATAAATTCTTGTTGAATTGTGACACACTCCTTATTTGTACATGATGGGGTTTTTACCCTGGTATCTAAAAATTATTTGGATAAAATTAGATAATTTTTAAAGATTGTATTTATTTATTTTCTAGAGAAGTGGGGAGGGAGGGAGAAAGACGGAGAGGAGCATCAATGTGTTGTTGCCTCTTGTGCATCCCAAACTGGTGACCTGGCCCACAACCCAGAAATGTGCCCTGACAGGGAATGGAACCTGTGGTCCTTTGGTTCGCAGGCTGGCACTCAATCCACTGACCCACACCGGCCAGGGCAGAAAGTTAGATAACTTTAACAAAGGTAAATCCTATTACTCTTAACATGTGTTCATGGAGGTCATTAAATAAGATTGCTTCTGTCCCTCAGGTGCTCTTTGCATTTTGTTTTGCTTTACTTAAGCATCTCCTTTCTCCTTTTATATTAATCTTCACCCTGAGTTCACCAAAGTTCACACAGAAGTGAATTCTATCCAAAGACTGATTTTGATATCACAAAGGGTGATGAATATACCCTGAGTTGAAAATGTTGAAATACTCTCAGATATCTGTACAAGTGCCTAGAAAAATCCATACAGTAGACAATGTAATTATGATTGATACTAGGCTGTTCCCCAAGGCATTTTTATTTTAAAATTTCATTTTCCAATGGAAATAAATTTCAAATGTATATTTTATGGGAAAAGTTTGATGCTGTTGTTTTTAGTATTTGTAGCAAAATATTGTAGTTATTATATTATAGGTTCCTGGAGAGCTGATTTTGTTACACAGAATTTTGCCTGGATGGTTGAAATAGTACTAGCAATAATTATATTGATGAAACATCCTTCATTGTAAATTGCTATCCAACTTGTAAAATTAGTAGCTGCATATTAAAATTTCCAAAAGAATTATTGAGAGTACCTGTTGGAATGCATTTCAGTGATAAAAGTAGTCAGAGGGTAAGTTGTAATATAAAAACTACTACTTAGGAGCTAATGACCTTGGGCAAGTTACTAATTTATTAAAAACTGTTTCTTTGTCCAATCAAATGAGGAAAGATTAAGTAATGTAATGATGCATAAGAAAGCTTTATTAAATATTTGTTTTCATAGTATATATGTATGTACATATATATTTAAATAGTAAAGACACAAATATGAGCTCAATTACACTAAATTGTGCTTTTAAAAATATTTTCCAGAATAATAATAGTACTCTTGAGCCCAATGACTGAATTCATGACTACTTAATTAGGCTCTTAGTAATCGTCTTTATTGTGTTTGCTCATTATGTGAATGGAATCACCATGATGCTTACTTGTGTATGAGCACTTAATATCCACAGACACTTCTATAAGGTTAATCTGAGACAAACTGTGTCTCCCTAAACGTGTCCTTCCCTTTTCTAGACAATCCGAAAGAGATGACTCGTGTGGCTGTTTTTGTGAGAATTTTGGATGTCAATGACAATGCCCCACAATTTGCTGTGTTCTATGACACTTTTGTATGTGAAAATGCCAGACCAGGACAGGTGAGTACGCATGAAATTTAAAAGCATAGGGAGTTTTGACAGCATGGGTAAATATTTTCTTCTCCTAACCCTGAGAAGAATGAGAAAATAAAGATAAGAACACTCCTATTAAATCCCAGTAATATAATTTAAAAGCAAACATGCACAGGCTGATGTTTTTAAGGTTGAAGATGTTATACATAGTGGTATAACAAATTTCATATGTGTTGTGTAAATTTCTAATGTATGTAAGATTATAGGTTGCCACAAAAAATAAAGTGTAAGAATAACTTTAATTTTTTTAATTTCAAAAACAAAAACAAATAAACAACAAACAAGGAAAATCATCAGCTGTGCCATTAGATAGAGATTGATAATTGATAGATGGAAAATAACAGTTAGGAAGAACACAGACAAGTATGTGCACCAACAAAGCAAACCATCAGTATCTCACTGTATGCAAATAGCTCCGAAGGGGGGCTGCAGAGTCTGCTCCTCACGTCTCCACTTGCATTTTATCATTATAGCCACACATAAAATGCATAATGACTTAGTTTTCGTCCTTTAAAGCATTCTTCCTCCATCAGCTTTGTTTATAACTCTTTAAGTCTTTTCCTCAGTGGACTCATTTGGTTGTTTGAAAAGCTCCGGCATATATAAGAAATGCTCTTAATTAGTTTGAGTGCTATCTTCACAGAAGGAAGCTGCATCTTATAAATAATAATTGGAAATCAAATTTGATTTACTAAAGAAAGAGAAGCCATCATAAAACTGTATGGTGTTTTGACATCATGTGATGCTCTTTATAAACATCAATGTCATTGTTACATTTTTATGTAAATTACATTGAGGAATAACTTCAGATTCTTCTTCAGATTGTAACAGGAATTCAATAGCCTGTCTATTGTTTGAAATGGTAAAATTGTTCCAGTAGGATTCTTTTCTATTTGAAAATATTACAGAAATGTTTAATTTGGAATATTTAAGTGACTTAGCTACTTACAAAGTACTTTTTAATAAAACAGTGTGTGCACTGAAAATACCATTCCAAATAGTCCTCTCCTTACCAGGCTCAGCGTGATATAAGTTGAAGCTTCTTCTAAAAAAAGATAAAATACCCACTTGTCAACTGCTGCATACACGCTGCTTCTATGGTTATTTGATTTGATTTTCAAGAGATATCTTTTTCAGAGCATTGGGGTCATTATAAAGACCGATTTCCAACTGTGTTCAAAATATACAAAATAAGATATTGTGTTTATTTTTCCTTGTGCTGTTATCTAATTTCCTTTTTAAACTTTACCTGGCTCAGTAAGTTTATGTTTTGGGAATTTTAAACACAAGTTGGCATATTGAAGGAAAATATCACCAAATAAAAGATGATTTAATAAAAAGGTAGCTAGCCTATTTTGACAAACATGACAAGAACAACATGAGTAATAAATTTCGTCTAATTGGCTGCACATGCGATCATCTACCATGGCAGTTGTTTTAGTAAGAGCAGTTTGTTCAATGTCGTTTTGGTCTCATAGGCTGGAACATGATTGCCTGAACAAACTCATACATGCCCAGTGCCGGAATTCAAGGTTCTGACATCCTAGCAGGAAAACTGAAAGTGGTTATTGGGTCAAGTCCTTTCTACCAGATCCTTTCTTGAAATTCATTTATTAACTGTCTTCCTCCTCCAAGGGAGTAAGAGCTTTGTTAGGACTTCTGTGTGTGCTTTAGTTGTTTATGGAGTAGTTCGGTCCACCCAATGCTCCTTTGAATCAAGTGCTCTTTAAGAGTAACATTTAGAACAATAGCAGGGAAAATAATTCCATTCAGATGGTGTGTGGACAAAATGAAAGGACAGAAGTAAAGCTAATTGCCACCCTCAATTTCTTTCTTACTGAAGGGTAGAAGACTTCCCCCTGGGAAAAGATACAACTTACAATTGATGTAGCATTAATCTTTCTTTCTGGTTTCTGAACCAGGGCACTTGACTCTCCATTTTTTTCCTTCTTGGAGAGAAGGGAGGGGAGCTTGGAAAAGGGGAGGAGGGAGGACCTGAGCCTTTTCTATCCTTTTTTTTTCATTTTTCCTCACACATGCCCCACTCTTTCAACCAATAAAATATAGTTCAACAATATTTAATCTTTGTGGGAAGGAAATAGCATTTCCTTCTCGCAGATTTCCCTGGGTCGCACGCAGGAGAGAGTGCTGCTTCCTTGTACTTACACAGTACCATCCCCAGTATCCACACTCCAGGCCCTCTTCAAACGCACCACATTCTTCCTATACATGACAGTGTTTAATTTCTTCCCTAACAACTGGAAAGTGTCTCTTTTCCAGGATAAAGGGAATGTTTTCAACAGAAACTATTAGTCTTCTTATATTAAAACTTAGTGACCAGTTTTCTAACTTTAAACGTCTGAAAATCCATTCATCACCCTACATGCCATTATACAGTAGCAGAATCACTAAAACACCCTTCAAGTTGATTTAAGGTTATTCTTAAATAGCCCAGCAAAAAAATATAAACAAATTTTATAACTGCTAGGGAGATAAAATCTAAGGGACTTATCTGTGTCTGTTATCTATATGCCTAAAATGAATCCTGGACATTACTAGTTATATTTTTCCCTAATTGGGACAAACTCTTTCTTTTTTCCCTTTTTATTTTTGAAGTGGATCAAAATAAATTTGTCTCCAGGGGAAATAAAGTAGTGAGTGCTTTTATAGAGAGACAGAGGAAATAGTGTTACCTCCCTCTTGTTAACTTCAGATTTCTATTGCAATGCTCTATGGAGATACACCAGAATAAAGTATCGTGATGTTCTGATACATAACTGAAAATGAAAAAGGAACGATAGATTGAAAGTAAATCCTGGATGTGGAGAAGCTGGACACCAGGAGCCAAGTTGTGTCTCAAAGGAAAAAAAAAACTGTGAAAAGGAAGTAAATGCTTCCATCCACAGTAAAGAAGTCTTGGGGTCATAAATATATGTTGTAATCTGATAACGCTTTCTGACATGTGATAGTATTGTATTTGTATTAATATGAGCTTCACTTATTTCCTTCATAACATCTAATGAAATTGTATGAGTGAATCACTGATTCTGAAATCTACAATGCTACCATCTTTTATTAAAATAATACATTTTAATCTAGAGTTTTAATCTAAATCTTCATAATTTTTATAGATATATGTAAATATGTGGCCATTTTTTCTTTTAAATATGTATTTTGGCCCATAAAAATGAACTGCAATTATAATTTATAATTATAGTTGCAAGTGTATATTTATCATGAGACATAATTTTTATTTTAAAAGATCATTTGCTTTACTGTCACATTTTTATCATTTATGTGTCTATATGTGAGTATTAATATATCCATCTTAATGAATTTTCATTAGTCTACTATATTTCTTGATATGTTATTTAATTTATCGGATTTTTAATCCTTTATTTATTCTTATAAGTCACTATTTATAAAATGAAATTCTTTAGACTGCTCAACAAACAGGTCAGTCAAGAAATATTTTTTTTGTATTTTAATCTATTTGAAGATTATTAATTCACATTATTTTAACATTTTTCTCTTTAATTACTTCATATATTTACCTTCCTTCAGGTTTTTACTAAATGAATAAGCTATTAGTCATAAATTCTTTCTTCAAATTAAATTTAAATTACCACTAGCATTTCACAAAAAAGTTATACTTTAAATCATATTTTAAAATTATTCAAAATTTATAATTTTTTGCTGCTTGTTTCTAGACAATAAAGATTTATCTTTGGTACAATTATATATCTTGCATCACTTTGAAATAAATGGTCTGGGTTGTAATTAAATAAGGACTGCCTCAAATTTACATTTTAATTTTTTTGAAGACCTTTAAAAGAAAAATAATACAGTACAGTTAAAATAATTTCTTAATTTTCCTAATTAGTTTACATCATGCTTTAAACTTGAAATCTCTCTTTCAAGCAACAAAAACATCAGGAATAAATATTATGAAAGATCCATACATTTTTTTTGAAGTTTTAAAACATTTTATCATTTTTTTTTGCATTTTCTGGAGTTTTGTCTCTTTTTAAGTTAAAATATTTTTTATTGTTGTTCCAGTACATTTATCTCCATTTTCCCCCCACTGCTCTCGCCCACCCCTTCCCATTCCCCCCACCTGCCATCCTGGATCCTACCTCCCTTTGGCTTTGTCCATGTGTTCTTTGTACATGTTCCTTGATGACCCTTCCCCTTTTACTTCCCATTATCCCTTCCCCCTTCCCCTCTGGTTACTGTCAGTTTGTTCTTTATTTCAATGTTTCTGGTTATGTTTCATTTGCTTGTTTGATTTGTTGTTTAGGTTCCTGTTAAAGGTGAGATCATGTGGTATTTGTCTTTCCCTGCCTGGCTTATTTCACTCAGCATCATGCTCTCCAGTTCCATCCATGAGTGAATGAAGTAAAAAGTATTTACTTTTTAGTTAAGAATAAATTTCACCATATTGTAGAAATCAGTACATATATTTAGCCACTTTGGAAGCTCTTTTGCAAAATTAAAATATGCAAAAATGTATACACAATATTATGTTATAAACAAAGTGGATATGTATGCCAAAAATAGAGTTATGTTGCATAGATATATATAATATTAATTAATCATACCAATGTGTTCAAAGCAATTACCAGATTGTAGTATAAGGTGTTAACTTTTCTACTTTGTTAGTTGGTAGCTTCTTATATTGTCTCTTACCCCAAATAAATCAAAGAGTTGACTCTGATAAAATAACTATTCTTTATAGTATGAATATGTTCAACTTAAAAATATATAATTTTATTGACAGTGCCAAAGAAGTAACCTCTTATTGTTAAAATAGATAATAAAATGTATGTCTTTTCTTCCTTTAAAACTTATGTATAATATTGTCAATGGAATCTATACATTGTTTGAATAGTTTTTTGCTTTACTTTTAATGAGAAAAGCCATAATGAAAATAACTTTCTAAATTTTCTTGATATTAAACTCTCCCAGATCAATATTTATATATATATGAAATAACCTACTCACTTTAAATCTTGTATCTTAGTAAATAACATTTTCAAAAACCTATTACCATTTGATGTTTTGAAGGAATGAATACTATTTAAGAAAAATTGAGAGAGAGAGAGGGTAAAGACAGAAAGTAACACAGAGCGAGAGTAAAAAAGAAAAAGATAGAGGCTTCATTAAAATCAAAGTAACAATAAAAAGGAAAGGGTTGAATAATTTTAATAAAGATGAATGCATGAGGAAGAAAGTCGATTGCCTTTAAACATTTTCAGACAAAACTGGGTGTCAAAAATTATAATTATAAAGCAGATTATATCCATGGAAGTTTGAAAAATATGCATTTTTCTCTTTTCTGCAGCTAATACAGACTATAAGTGCAGTAGACAAAGATGATCCTTTAGGTGGACAGAAATTTTTCTTCAGTTTAGCTGCCGTCAATCCAAACTTCACAGTACAAGACAATGAAGGTAAATCGTAGAACATGTTCATTATGCTTTACGGTGACACACAAGACATTTCCCTCGAAATAACAATTCCCATATACACAATGCATTAATATATTGATCTATATCACAAGATTTTGTTTTCATCAGATATTTAATGAGATATTATGGCAATTTCTTGATTGATAGTGTTTACTTTCTTAAATTTTAAAATAATAAAATATGTAAAGGTGTCTCTTTGTGGGTCCTCATTAAAAGATTGAATCTTAAAAGCATTAGAAAAGCTGGAAATAATTAATTCCTTCAGCAAAAAGCACAGGACAGAAGAAGAGGATTGAGAAGAGGGAGAAGCCACAGATTAGCCTTGTGCTGGTATTAAGCTCTAAAGATTGCAGGGGGCGGGGCATGGAGGTGGAAGAGGGCCTGGAGGAGCATAAATGATAATGGAAAAATACAATAAAAAATAAACCATTTTAAAGAAAATGTAGTTGCAAGGGCAAGACATGCTATTTCCCTACATGATACATAGATTTTATGTCTCTGTAATCAAAAACACCAAAATTATATATATTTTTGTATTTACAAAATGGTCAAAATATATTTTAGAAGAAAAAGATATGCAAATGGTTAGTATTTTTTAAAAGTTTAACAGATCTTTCTTTGGAGAATATATGTGCTAATTAGTCGAGTCTAAACAGAAGTATATAATTAGCTTTTCTTTTCTTCATAAATTTATGTTACACTAATCACATGAGCTAGTTTTTACTAAAAAGCATACTCATTTTAGAGCATCTGAAGATGTAGTTATCCTTCAAATAAACCTAACTACACTGGCACATTTACAAAACCATCGTAACAGTGCATTTATGCCAGAAGAACCAGGTTGCAGTGGCATCTCTGGATGGCTTTCAGTGCATCCGAATCGGGTGTAAGGTCATGAACAGTATGTTGAGCCGAGTAGTATCTGTGACACTTGATGCAGTAGTAATGTTGCACACATGTGTGCTCACTCTGACATTTTTGCAATGTTCAAATTTTCCATCTGTCTGGACACCTAAGATACCTGCGATTGGAAAAATTAGCATACAACTGGCATTCAGAATATGAAAGACCCAATGACATCTGAATATCATAAAACACAACACCCAACATTTAAATTTGCTGACTGTGGCAACAAAAAGATAGAACTCAGACTGGACGTATTATAACTTTTTCTAATTGAATTTTAACTTCTTTTTTTTGTTCCTGTAAAACTGCGTCCTGGGTCCCAACAAGCACTAGTCAATTTTAGAAAGAAATAGAGACTTTAAATAGTATGACTTAAAAACAAAGCATTTCACCGTTATTGGGAAAACAGCTCAAGGTTGGTTTATCTTAATCTTTGACACGTAGTGCCATTTTCCTGTGTTAGGAAGAGTTTATGACCCTCTGTTACTGAAATCAAGGGTCGAAGCCACATGAATATAAATCTGAACATGTCACTACATAGGATACCACCAAAGTCTGATGGAATATTTGACTTAATCCTGCAAAAAGTACTAGTTTTCTTTTATTGGTGGATTTAATGAAGAAATTCCAGTAACATGGGGATTACTTTAATGTTTCTCTTCTTGATAAAACATCCTAGCATTTATTTATAGGTTGATATTAAAAATGTTTAATTCTTTGATATTATTCATTTAAAAAACAATGTCTTCTGTGATACCACATTGGAGGATTTTTACTATTATGATTCCTTTACTTTCCATTAACTTTATGTAAAAGATGTTATTATATGATAATTTTCTGAAGATTTATGTAATGATTTCAATGGAATGGTTAGTTGAGGGTAAAGCTTTGTTTGGTTCTTCAATATGTCAAATCTTTTGTATGAAAAATAAGATTTAGAAACTTTTATGAAGTTAAGGTATGAGGTAAGAAATTCTAAAAATACCTACGTGTAAATAGATTTTATTTTAGTATAGGTTTGAAAATAGAGGAATTGGTATTCTAATACTTCTTGAAAGATAAGTTCAAACTATAAAATTATCAGTATTTCACTTCATTTTACAAACCTGCTTTTATACATCTATTTTGCTAATGCACTTAGCATTTAATGTTTTAAGTTGAATCACTGTACCTACAGAAAAATATCTTTTTTACTTCTGCCCTATTTGATTTAACTATTGGCTAACCTACTCCCTCCTCTGTATGAAAATTTTATTTATTTATTTATTTATTAAAAGATTTTATTTATCTATCTTTAGAGGGGAAGGGAAGGAGAGAGGGAGAGAAATATCAATGTATGGTTGCCTCTCGTGCGTCCCCTTCTGGGAACTGGCCTGCAACCCAGGCATGTGCCCTGACTGGGAATTGAACCACAGTCCTTTGGTTTGCAGGCCTGCACTCAATCCACTGAGCTACACCAGCCAGGGATGTATGCGCATTTTAAACAGCCCGGTGGGATTGACTAAAGTAGACTAAAAGCATTGGGCAAACCTAGGAAGAAATGACTATCCAAGTATATATCGATTTTATTTTTTAATACATATTGTTTATATAGGGCTAGACAATATTTTTTTTACTAATTTCCTTTCCCTCATTTATGGATACTGGGCGAGGTATCAGATAAAGAAATGGTGGTGTACTTGGCAGTGGGATGCTGGACTTTATTAAACCCCTACCTTTTCCTGCATGTCTGCTAGACACTCCACACCGTCCTTGTCTTTGACTTTCACCCACACTTAAAGTGATGCATTATATTCAGTTTAATGGGTGGAAATCAAAGCTCAGAAATATCAGGTAACTCATTCACCACAGTCCATATTTTGGAACTTATGCCAAGTTTCTTGATTACATTATTGATTCTAAAACTGCAACTTACTGAAAACTTCCCCAATCATATCTTTCTGCATGAATATTGAGTTAATGTGTAGTGTGTGGGTATCTGTGTATACACACATTTGTAAATAAAAAAAATGTTTACTGTAATTTTATACTGGATATGCTTATTTGTTTCTGAAAACAATATACTATCATCTGTGGTCTTGACATATGATTCACATACAAAAAAATTACCATTTTAAAAACATCTGTGAAGTATTTGAAAATCTAAGGTATAAGCAATCACAGTATTAGATTCCTCAAGTTAATCTGATTCGTCTTATGTATATTGTAACTGCACCGTGTGCATGTTATACAAAAACCGATGTTAGTTTTAAACTTTCCATAAACATCACTTTATTTATATTTCACAACCATGGGGATCAGGATGAGACAAATTTGCTGGTCTGAGTCATTTATCATATTTAAACATTTATTTTAGATAATACTGCCAGAATTTTAACCAGAAAAAATGGATTCAACAGACATGAAATCAGTAGCTACCTGCTGCCCGTGGTGATATCGGACAACGACTACCCGATCCAGAGCAGCACCGGCACGCTGAGCATCCGCGTGTGCGCCTGCGACAGCGAGGGCAACATGCAGTCGTGCAGCGCCGAGGCCCTGCTCCTCCCCGCCGGCCTCAGCACCGGCGCCCTGGTCGCCATCCTTCTCTGCATCATTATCCTGCTGGGTAAGGAACTGCAGAGAAAATATGATTATTTCTTAGGTTGCTTACTGCAGTGTGCGTATAGATAAGAAATGTTGCTAGTAAAATACTTTCCCCTAAACAAACCCCAACATTTAAGAGAGATGTAAGTTGACAATGGAATGTTGTTCATATTAAAATACTTTATCTCATGAAACTTATTACCTTCCTTTTTCAAGGTAATAAATGAAACTTAAAATAAAATAATGAAACTGTAATAATTTAGAGATATTCAAAAAACATTTTCTAACATTACACAGTTTCTGAATGTATGACCCAAGGTAAGACACTGTATATACAGTTTTTTGGTTTTTGTTTAGTAAATCTGAAGTTTGTTTGCACATTTTTTTCATGGCTGGATGGAGGCCTCACTATCTTACCTCTTCACTGAAATAATGCTCAAATAACCATTTTCGGCTGGTACCATTGTCCCTAAAACAATGATAATGGATTTTAGAATCTAGAGCAAATTGCTTTTTGACTGCCTTTGAACTAAGAATCAGGATGAATTTATTCTGTAGTTCCATTATCATAAAACTATGTGAGTATTCCTGTGACCCTAATAAAAAAAACACAACATCTGATGTTTTAAGAAGCAGTGAAATGAACTTGGATTTTGGAGCCCAAGACCCTCACATGCAAATCTCATCACATTGAGGATTTAGGCTCTAACCTAGGAATTTGGAAGAGACACATTTAGTTTATAACAATAATAAATCCCATAGTCTTTAAATGTTTGTTCAAAAGAGGCTAAATAAAAGCACATGTTTCTTTACATATGTATATATATATATACATATATATACACACACATATAAAGAAATATATACATACATATATATGTATGTATGTATGTATGTGTGTGTGTGTGTGTAGTAATTGAATTTACCTCTGTTTTTTCAAATCAACATTTTAAAACATCCTGACCAAAATGAGGATGGGAAACTAATGCAACCAGATAGAATTTAATATTATTTTTCTCCTATCTTTTATTCATTTACCACTATTACAACTAAAATTATTACTATTATTGGTACCTGGTCATGGTATTTGTGAAATGCCTTGGAGTGACATGCATTTCTACTTGTGGAGCGACACTTAAATGCACCCAGCCAAGGTTCATACATAGTTTCCATATTAATTCAGTGTATTAATTGGAATTCTCACTTTGCCATCATGTGATCCAACAGTTAGTTTTTTATCTCATGCATGATATATATTTCCATGGAAAATCTCATATATTTCTAAACCAATAAAGCCTAAGTGTTTGGCCTTTTTTTCCTAGTAATTAAGGCCTTCTTTAAACAATGTGAGAAAAAAATCTATGCAAACTCTTCAGTAAAGCTATTTAACAGAAACCAATACTCCATATCTTTTGAAGAATGCTACTGTTTAAATCTTGTATAAGGGTGTAAAAAATGTGGACATATTTTTGTACTTCTTAGCTGTTTTATTGAAGTAGACATAATTCAGTTTGTGCCATTTTTTATATAATATCTTGGTCATTATTTAATGCAAAGTATAAATAATGTCTGTACAATCAGAAACTGTCTTTAAGTAGTTCTTAGAAAAATAGATGACATAAGCCACTGAATTGAGAAATATCCCATATAGCTCTAAAAGAAATTAAATCCGCTGCTCTTAAACTCTCCCCATCCTAGCTAAATCCTCCAATACCACCCCCACGTGCCCCGCCAAATGGATCGAAGTACAAAATTAATCTTAAATGCTAACCCATCCTGGAAAACCTGTTAACTTAAACTCTGGACAACTTCCACTCGTTATTTATACAGTGCTGCAGAAGGATCTCTAATGTATCTTTCTTTTTTCAAGTTATAGTAGTCCTGTTTGCAGCTCTGAAAAGACAGCGAAAAAAAGAGCCCCTGATCCTGTCCAAAGAGGACATCCGAGACAACATCGTGAGCTACAACGACGAGGGCGGCGGCGAGGAGGACACGCAGGCCTTCGACATCGGCACCCTGCGGAACCCTGCGGCCATCGAGGACAAGAAGCTGCGGCGAGACATTATGCCGGAAACTTTATTTATACCCCGGAGGACTCCCACGGCTCCAGACAACACAGATGTCCGGGATTTCATCAACGAAAGGCTGAAGGAGCACGACCTGGACCCCACCGCGCCTCCCTACGACTCCCTGGCCACCTACGCCTACGAAGGGAACGACTCCATCGCGGAATCGCTGAGTTCGCTGGAGTCGGGCACGACCGACGGGGACCAAAACTATGATTACCTCCGGGAGTGGGGCCCGCGGTTCAACAAGCTGGCCGAGATGTATGGTGGCGGGGACAGTGACAAAGACTCCTAACCTGCGGCGTCTGCTCCGTTTCCATAAGAGGAAGCAACTTTACCCACGCCATCTCCACTTGACAATATTTGACATTCAGGAGCATTTTCCTGCCACTCAGCACAATTTTTTCCCCATTTACTTTTAAATTTGTTCATTAATGGCATTAATCCTTTCCTGTAGGATGTCTCATGGAATATATACGACATTTTATTTAATCACTTCCAAGAGCCAAAGCTATGGAAATTCCGTGTGGTCCATTTTAGAAATAAAAGATAATTTCAGAAACATGCACAGGATAGTTCTCCCTTAAGCAACCTGACAAACAAGCCGCTTCTGTTAGATACACGCCCTGCCCTTGCAAATGAAGCTTTTAAAAAAAAGGTAAAGAAAAATTTTAAGGTATATCCTGTTCTGTACATTAAATTAAAAAAAATGTACATGTGGTGTTAGTCGGTGTGATATGCAACCTGGTATACAAAACGTTCGTGCAATTTCATTTCATCAAATTCTATCTGCTAATGTTTTATATTTATATTTTTGTATTTATTTTTAAAAAATAAACCAGTTTTTACAACTACCTTGCCTCAAGCTTTTTCTTCTCCCCCAAAGGAAGAGAAGTTTCACCACAGACCACAGATCTTGGTACAAAATTACATGGAGTGCACAAAAAGACATGATGTCACTAAATTACTGTTGAGAATTCTAACCAAATTAATATGATTTAGGTAAAGATTATTTTCCCCTTTAGTTTTGTTGGGCTGTGATATGTGAACAGTTCATCCCAGTAAAGTGATAGTCCTATATAGACCACTTAAAATATTTCCATTTAGGCAAATTTAGAACATAGCCATCCTTATGCTAAATATACCAAAAACATTAGCAAAGCAGTTACGTCATTTTGTTCATTTACTAAATTAATTTCTGAAAAAGTAAAACATGTTCTTATTTTTGTATGACACTTTTGCTATTGAGGTTTATAGGCAAGAGAGTTCAAACAGATCTCAGATTGAAATAATGCTTTAATGGAAAGGGTACTTACCTCCCATGGTGATTGAAAATGCATAGTAATGAGAGTAATAATGCTGAATATTCCATTAGGTTAGAATACTGTAACTACCTTGTTTTCAAAAATGCATTATATATTTATTTATTTTCAATAAAGTCTATTTTATTTTGTCAATGAATGATTCAAACAATAAAAACAAAAAGAAAATAACAACAACAAAACCAAACAGGCATTTAATTATTCAGAGACCCCTAGGCCAGCAGCCACTCAATGATCCCTCCTTTCTCAGGCTCCACACATGATTTATTTATAAATGGACCATTTGTTGGGCCTACACTAAGATTTGTGTTTCCTTCTGAATATATGGTAAACAATACCAAGGATCTATGTTCCCTCCAAGTAGTGAGAATGCCTTGTTTTTGGAGTGAGTCGGAGAGCTATATTGACATATCCTTAATGCAGAATTAATTATTTCAATCTTCTTAAATGATATTCTTTCCCCCAACTTCCAGGCTGATGAGGTACACAGCCTTCTGACCACAGACCTATGAGTTTGCACAGTAATCTAATTATGAAAGGAAAAAAACAACCCATGTGGTCTAGTTAAAATTACGGTCACATTATAAGTTAAAGTGACACAATAGACCATAGTAAAACCTAACTTGGTCTACTCCTTTTATTCCAAGAACCCATTTATGTTCCCAGAATGCTGTCAAAAGTTCAAAGTTTAAGGAAAAAGAAAGGTTTGATGACCTGAACTGAAGGGAGAGAAAACCTTCAATATCATAGGATTATTCATTCAAATAAAAGCAGCAAAAATAATGAAAAAGACAAAGTATACATTATGAATGTTTAACACAAGTTATAATTCAAAATATAATATCCATTTGATTGAAAGTTTTCCAAATTTCCATCATTAGCTATTTTATTAATATTAGATGTCAGTAATTAAAATTTTTATTAAGTTTCAATTGTCATAATTTCAAACTAACATTAACTTGCACTGTTATTTACTTGTCATCAATTTTTATGGACATAAAGAATTTTAGTAGTTATTTTTAGTATCATCCAGACCATGTTTCCAAAGTTTCTCTTTAAGGAGATTAATTAGCAGGCCCACTTCATAGTGTGTAAAAACTATATTCTATAAAAAACATTTTTTGGTTTACTGAAATAGTCTTCAATAATAGATACCTAATATTTTTAATGAAGGTGTTATATGATTAATTCCTTGAAATAAAAAAATGCTTATAGTGACCTATTCAAACTTTCTTATAATTTTTCTTGCATGATACTTTCGCAAAGATATGATATGCCCAATATACAGATTATTCATGTCCAATTTTTTAATACAGGGAGTGGGGGAAATATTTCTTAGTATCATGTTATTGATTTCATCAGACCACTATGGACTTAATATTTATCCATTTGTCCCTTTTCATCAGATATTGTGAGCATCTTATATAAGTCAAAAGGTGTTCTAGGTCCTAGAGATGTAGTGATAAATCATATATAATTTTATATATGTGTGTAATTCTTCTATTAATGAAAATGAAAAAAAGGCAAAATCACTATCAAAACAGAATTAATAACAAAGCATCTAACTTTTACTATTATTACTTTTAAAGAGATTTTATTTATTTTTTTTAAGAGAAAGGAAGAGAAGGAGAAAGAGAGGGAAAGAAACATTGATGTGTGAGAGAAACGTCTTTCAATTGCCTCTGGCACGCCCCCAACTGGGGACCTGGCCTGCAGCCCAGACATGTGCCCTGACTGGGAATCAAACCTACTACCTTTCAGTTTGTGGGACAATACCCAACCCACTGAGCCACACCCATCAGGACTATTACTCCTTTTTAAAATAAGAACAACAACAAAAAGCCACCCTTTTTAAGTTTTAATTATTCGGATAAATGAAGTAAAACTATTTCTAAACCTTTGGCCATTAAAAATGGCAATTAGGGTAATCAATTTTATTAGCTCTGTTTTCAACAAAATATCAAAGTTTGTGTAATGATGAATTTATGCTTTTATGCTGAGGTTTCTATGTGTGCCAAGTGGATACGGTAACACAAATGCAAGATGACATTTTTCTTTTAGACTTAAACATAATACATTATAAGTAATTGAAAATCTATGGTAATCTAAAATAAACCTACAATTTAGGATTACGTATATCTACATGTCTGGGTTTATTATTAATACATTCAATTAAGTGTCTGTATAGAATATTTTCACCGGCTACAACGCACCCTGCTGGCCATCTGTTGCATGGCACTGACTTATCACTTGGGGCGGCTTCCTTTCCTACGCACTTGCGCTTGCGTGGACACCAGTGGGTGGCGCTGCAAGACTGCCTGGGCAAGAGGGGCTTGTGGTGGCAACAATGGGAACCTCCCTGACACCTCTCCAGATCTACTAAGAAGAGTGCAGCCTGTCCCCAAGCTTGAAATACAATAGAGCCTTCTTCTTCTATCCTCTGGTCACTCTGCTGGACTGGTTGTTGCTTTCAGAGTGCAGAGGTTTATTGACCCACAGAGAGTGTTCAGGGCTCTTGCTTTAGTCACCAAGTCATTGCCAGGGTGTTTGCTAAAGAGGTAATAGCATCTAGTTGTTTACTTATTTTGATCAGAGCACACCAGAGGGCCCGGCGTTTCCCTTTTTCTTCCAACATTATGCTCAAGCCCAAGACTTTGTGGACGTTCTGGATCCTACTTCGTTCAAATCCCACATCAAGAAGTTGCAATTGTTTCATTTAAAATATAAATATATATATATGGAATTCCACCACTTCTCTCCATTTCTATCCCCTGGCCCAAGGCACCAACACTCCTCATTTTTATAATTAGTAGCAATGAACTTACAAACTGGTCTTTCTCCTGTCACCTCTCTCCACTCACACTCCACTATCAGCATTGAGGTCAAATCAATGTTTTCCACGTGTCTTTCCTATTTGGTCGTTCCCTGGTTTTGAACGCTGTTACTATAACCTCATTTTACTCAGGACGCCAACTTATTTTCTTGGCTCCAGTCTCTGGCTCTTTGCTGCTCCTTTCTGCCCTCACGTGTTTTCACTGACCATCCCTCTTCCTCTGGTGTGTGTCTTTACCTCCTTCAGTTCTTTGTCAAATGCTATTTTTAATTGTGGTGTGTTCTTTTTACCCTACTTAGAGTTTTACTATTTCCCTAGATTGCCTGTTGCTCTTATACTGCATTTTTCTCCCTAAAATCACCACCTTTTTAACATGGTGTATGACTTATTTGCTTATAACTGTTACTTCCTGTCTCAAACAGACTGTGAATTTCATGAAATCATGGATTCTTGTCAGTTTTAATTACGATGCCCAATAAATGGAATTATGCCTATCTGTTTAGGCGATCAACAGACATTTGTTGGGAAAAGTAATATATATTGCATCATTATGTTTAATTAAAAAATATGTATATACATATTGTATGCATATGGCATTTGTGCTGCTTCTTTTAGATGGTAAACTACTCAAAGTTGTAGGATCTGTCTTACTGATTTTTTTTTTCAATTTCTGGGAAATCCTTTTCTTCCACACTGGTATAATATAAATGAAATTTCAGTAGTAATCATTTTGCCTAATTGTTTTAGAAAAGTAGAGATAAATCTTAAAGAAGACACAATTTGAGAAAGCCAAAACATTAGTTTAAAGGAAGTTATATTTAAATGTGTTTGGAATGTTTGCAATGTGCTAGAGATTATGGCAGTGGAAACTGACATAATAAAATAAAATAAAATAAAATAAAATAAAATAAAATAAAATAAAATAAAATAAAATAAAATAAAATAATCTGCAGGGAGAGAATGACCACCTCTTTGGGTTCCATTCTCCTGTGCTTGAGAAGTGGGTCATGATTTGGGGACCTTAATAATGCTTTGGGAGGGTCAGATAAAGGGAGTGTTGATCAGAAACGGTTTGGAGAAAGATTTGGATGAACGAGAATGTTGAGGTGGAACAGAAGACCACAGAACTCCCAGGGAAGC